ACAAATATTTGTTTGTGTTGTTCGTGTTCGGCTCATTAACTTAACAAATGACCGAACACGAACGAACAAATATTTGTTTGTGTTGTTAGTGTTCGGCTCGTTAACTTAACGAATAAGCCGAACTCGAGCTAATTAACGGCCGAACATGAGTTGTTCGCGAAGAACGAGCTGTTTTGACAGCCCTATTAAACGGCCTCCATTCTACTTCATTTTTGACATTTTATTTTCTTTTACTAAGCAATGATCTCATCAAAAAAATCTAAACTTGAAATTCTTAAATGGGATGTTTATGTTATGTGTCGATTTTTAAATTAATAAGAAAAAAATAGAAAATAGCATTTTAAAATGAATATATCATTTATTATCTCCAACCTATATAGTTTGTGAAAATCATATAAAATAGGGGCATTTAAAAGCAATACCACGCATTTCCTATGTATTTACATATGTACCCTCCACATTTTACTTATTATTATTATCATTTATACCGCCCAAATCTTTCATATCACTAAAGAATATCTCTATTTTAACATTTAAAAAGTGAAATACAATTGAAAATTGAAAATTTTAATCTTCATTGTCTTCAAATGATAAATGTCTTTCCATTACTTGCTCCAAATAAAACCAGCAGATGTTGCCTATCAGTCGCTGTAGCACAGCAGCAACTGATCTCGCTAACAAATCAGTTCTGCAAAACTCATGTACATTCATTCAGCTATCTGGCCAGTCTATGCTCCCAATAGGATCACCACCCAAATGCCAAGCCCCTTCAGCTAACTCATAAAAAAACTGGTCCCAATTCCAGCTAGAGTAACCCAAGAAAAACCAATAGTCTTCGCCGGATCGATCTCCTGACTTGATCCCTTCAATCACCATGCCTGTAATCATTGGATTGCCAAAATAAATGCCATGAATGACCTTTGTATACCCCTCTGTCGGACTCCTGGACAAACTGACCAGAGGAAGGCCTTGTACTCTAACAGGTCCTCCGTAAAAGATAGGAGCCTGCTTTACAGCTTCCATATCATTGTCCAAATTCTCAAAGACATTCCACCTTATGGGTTTGTTCAAGATGATGCCTTGCAAAGCTTGGCCTTCATCGACGAGCGTGATAAGAATGGTGGAGTTATCGAAAGGAATGGCATCTCGAAGCTTTTTAGTGGCGGATAGAATAGATCCTGGAATGATGTGGTGTGCTTTGTTGTGGAGAATGTTCGGTGCAGGTGATTCAGCTGGTGGTTGGTTTCTTCCTCCCATGTTGTGGAGTCTGCTATTATCAAACAAGGAAGGATCCATCTTACTGATTGGAAATGGAGATGCATCATGAGGCGTTGATTTTCTCTTGTTATTGTTCAATGAATTCTTCCACAAATAACCTGGAGCATTGCAGAGAGTTTTAGAACGAAGCCGAGTGTGGTTATTTGAAAGTAAACAGAGAAGTAAGCCCGGTTTAACGTTGCATGAAGGCTCAACACGTATATATAAAAGAAGAGCTCACAAGAATTTTTACGTGAAAACGAAGCCGAGTGTGGTTATTTGAAAGTAAACAGAGAAGTAAGCCCGGTTTAACATTGCATGAAGGTTCAACACGTATAAATAGAAGAGCTGAAAATAGAAACACAAGAATTTTTACGTGAATAAATCCTAAAAAGAGAAAAAAAAACCCATCAATCCTAGCTTAGTCAACAATCTTTATAATAACTGTAGAGAATCCCAAATCCCAACCCCCGTTTGTATGGAGCTATTGCTTGCTGAGCAGATTAATAGATCTCATCCAACACAACTAGGAATTAATTAGCTTGTATTCATTCAATATACTTTTTTAGCGCTAGAAAGATTGGTCGTAGAGAGAGATTAATATCTTAACACATATAAATATAAAAAATAAGTCATTAGAATTTTAACGTGAAAAACACTAAAAAGAGAAAAATCATTAGTCCAAGCCCAATCTGAGTAATTCATTATATATTTCAAGTTACAAAATTTCACTTTTTCCTTAACTAGAAAAGGAGAGGTTACAACACCTGTTTATCACTCTGTTGTTACAATAAAAATTATGAAATGTAAATAAACACTATAGGGGTAATGTTTAAACAATAAAAGCCTAAGGGTAATATTTTGGCTACAACTACAATATGTAGGTTATAACAGTCACCGGTGGTCATTAGCATCTAGCTCTCCGGTGCTAACAGCAAAAGCCTAATGCGGGGCATTGAACCCCGCGCGTGGGAAGGAGTCGCGAAGGCGGGATCGCGACTCCTTTGTTGATGATCTTCATATGATTAGTTTTTAATGGGTATTCTCTGGATTTTTCTTGCCTCCCACTCCTTCCTTTTGTATGGGAGTTTTCTTGCCTCCCACTCCTTCCTTTTGTATGGGAGTTTTCTCCTTTATTTCTGTCATTTCTTCGTCAATGAGAGTTTGTAAATTGTTATTATATGATTTTAGGGTCAGTTCTGGTGTGAATTGCTTTCAAATTCCTTTGTAGAACTATTCTCCCTATTCTAGGGTTGTGCCCGAGGAGTTGGCGATGTTTCAACTGTATCCTATTACGAGGTGGTGATGTATCTTCCTCTATCCTCCTCCCTAACCCTTCTCCTTCTTGTCCACTAGTCGGCCATCCCCATACCATCCCAACTGTCCAGTTGCCCCTTTTCTCCCATTATCTTATTGTGCAATC